AAGAAATGCTGAGGAAATATTTCTAATTGTTTTATCTCCTTAATAGGAAGCTGCTGGCCAAAACTCTCACAGTTTTGCATCTGAAAAGCTGTCAGCTTTACTGTGTGGTTTGCTGACTGAGCTCCTGTGTTACTCTGCTCGAGAGGAGGAATCACTGGCCTTACTCTTGTAAGGGTGGCAGAAACTGGAAAAGTGACTCTGGTAGCTGAAACCCTCTCTCCCTGTTCATGTGCACGAGGGGTTTTTTTTTTGTTTGTTTGCTTGGCAGTGCACTCCATTTCGTGGAAAGAAGATGCATTTTCCATCGTGAGGCAGTATTATGGTTGGCTGTAAGCGAATATTTGAGGGGATGAATCACCGGCTCCTGGGCTGCACATTGCAGAGAAATGAGCTTAAAGCCACTGGGAGCCGAGTCCTCCATGGGAGTGCTCGCTGGGATGATCCAGAGGAGGCCCCTCTGGGGTAGGCTGGGCACCCCAGCTGCCAGGCACTCACACAGCACTTGTCTCAGTGGGTGATGATTTCATCTTTCCCGCTTGGACTTCCAGCTGTGGCAGGTTGGTGAGTCTGTGGAGGGTGGAACTTTTGCCTCCGTGGATGTGCTCATTGAGCCTGATGGGAGAGCAGCTGTTTTGCTGCGGGTGGGGATGGTCCAGGGTGCTGGTGGAGGTGTGTGGGGGCACAGGAGGCCGCATCTGCTTTCCTCCCACGCAGGGAAGGTGTCCAGCTCCAGTGGCATCTGATCCTGGTTGCTCTGCTGGGGGCAAGATGTGCCAGGAGGGCCGTTTGGTGCTCTCTGGTGTAAAGGAGAAGGTGTTGGGCACTGGCATTCTGTGTTCCAACAGCATCTGTTCAGTGAGAGATACCACTACCAACTACTTCTTATATAGAGTAAAAACTTGTATTTTTATCCTGTGTTTGGCAACTTTGTAGTCCTGCATCCCAAAGTAACATCTGATGGTTGAGTGAATGGATGGCCCTGCCTGTTGAGCTGCTGTCTTGGCTGTTTCTTGCACTTCAATTGGGCCCAATCTTTCATTAAAAAAAACACTTCAAAGTCAAATAAAAGTACTGCCACTTTTATAAATCTGGCTGCTGTTGTGATCAGCTCTCGTAGTCTTGTTGCCTTCATAAATTTGTCAAAGAATATTCTTCTGGCAAGTGCACAACAGCTGAGATGGGGCTTTCCAGCATTGCAGTGCATGTGAATGGCACAAAATCTGACTGATCTTGGGCAAAGGGATCACAGCTTTTAACGTGGAGAGCCTGTTTCCTTTCTGCCCTGTAGCTTTAGCTCTTGTCTTGCTGGTGTTTTCACACACAGCTGCTTCATCTGAAGACTTGCAGTTCTACTTGACTTGCACAAATTGTTTAAGGAAATGGTGTTTTCACGATATTATTGGAGCCCTGGCAGGAGGCAAGGGGTTTCTGTTCCAGCAGCCTCCCAGGAAAACTTATCTTTATTCTTGTGCTGTTGCTTAGGTGACTCTTAGCCAGTAGCTCTCAACATATCTGGGTTAAACAGTGTTTTGGTGTGATACTAAAACACAAAAGGTAAAGGTCACAAACCACACTAAATCCTCCAGGAGCATAATTTTCATGAAAACCAGTACACTTTGGTTGACAGTTTGTCACAGCTTTGCAATGTAAGGCTGCTGAATTTTAAAAGCAGCTGCAGAGACCCTTTGCTGGGTAACCGCTGAAAAAGAGTTTAAACGGCTTATGAAAGATTAGTTCTTTTCCTTAGCTGTGTTTTAACACCCAAACAAACATGCAGCCTTTTGTCTCGGGAGACTGAACTATTGACTCTCAGGCTACTGGGAAGGAGCCTGTTGGTCTGTCCCCACTTGCTCGTTGTTGTGCCTGGCTTAAAGCAGCTCTGCCAGGTAGGACAGGAGGCTTATCTTGACCTCTCTCCATGCTGCTGTTGTGATATTCTTCTTTTACTCCTTGAATTTTTTTTTTCTTCATTTAAACTGAGTCTTTAAAAAAAAAAAAAAATCCCATTTCTATTTTATTCCCAATATTTTCAAGTAGAGTGTTAAGTGTTTTTGGAGTTAACAGGAAAAAAAAAAAAGGAAGTTTTTTGGGGTCCAGTTTTTGCGAGCAGGGATTTGTGAAAGTTAGGATTGAAGTTGGATTTTACAATTTCTTTCCATCTCTGTATGCAGAGATCATTTCCTCTTTTTGAAGCAATAATGTATTTCATCTTTCACGATGTGCAAAATGCTTTTGTGTCTTGGCTGTGCCTCTGAGGTCTCAGAGTTTGGGCAGGAGCAGAGCTGATCATTCCAATTCCCATTCTGTTTGCAGCTGACCTGAACTGAGGTTTGATGTCTCCGTCCTCTTCAGCAGCGAGAGTGAGGGGGTTGGGATGGCCACCAGCAGCCTAATGTAAAGTCAATTTGTTAAAATGTTGTAAATATGTCCTTAAAAAACTGTGGCAGCTCAAATGCAATCTAGCACATCACTGTTGAAAGACTTTTGAAAAGCTTTTCCTTGGTGCTTATTCGTGCTCTATCCAAATGAGCTGGTTTGTGAGGCAGATCTGTAGCAATCTTTTTTTTCCCCTACCTTATGTTCCTAATTATTTAGTCTTTCAGTTTGTTTGAGGCTTGACAATGAGCTCCTTGTCTGTGATGGTGAAGAACAGCCAAGCGAACGCTGTCAAACACAGCTTTTTTACTAAATAAGGGGAGTTTATCCTGTCATTTCTCCCTTCCTGTTATCTAATCAACTGTTATAGTGTACTTTTATGCTCTGCTGTCTCTGGTTGAGGGTGATCTGGAGCAGATATTATTGCTTCTCTTCTTCCTCCTGTAAGCTGTAATTTGAGGGGGGAAGTTGGTCCCTGCTCTGCACTTGGTGGTATCTGGAACGCCAAGGCTGTAACATCAGACTGGGTTTTCTGTGTCCATGTCTTGTCCCAAAACTACCGGATGACAAACTGGTTTTTGGAGCTTTGAGAGAATTCCCCCTGCAAAAGCTGAATGGGGCTGAAACTACCAGCGTGGCAGGTGTGGGGAGGAGGTGGAGCACATCTACTTTAGGTGCCGTTTCCGAGTGAATTGTTCTGTCTTTCCCGTCTGCCTTCAGGGCCTCTTCAGTGCAGCTCCTGGAAGTGAGAGCAGAGTCAGCTGTAATGACTCACTGCCCACCATAAAGGCTCCCAGAGCCCTGCCCTTCCCCGATACGACTTTGTGCCCTGAAGAAGGACAGTCCACGTGTGTGACAGCACTTTGGGAGCAGCCCCAGCTGTTCCTGAACCAAGCAAACTTAAGGGGGTGAGTTGATCACAATCACCTGTTTCTAATCATGCTCTAAGCTGTCAGCCAGAAAAACCTAGGATTCAATAATCAGTTTTAATCTTGACTTATGTCTATTTCTGTTTCTTTAGGTAGGTTCTTACTCATTGCTAATCCCTAAAATGCAGCTTTTCCATACTTGTTTTGATGACAAGATGGATTCGCTGTGTCAGTGTTTTCATGAGCTGCAGAACAGCTTTACCCAGATTCCAAGTCTGTAACACTTTTACACTTCAGCATTATCTTGCTAAAATGTCCTTAAATGATCTAGGTTCATAAATATATGCATATTTTTTCCCTAGGAAGACGTTTTGCATTTACCATAAGTAGCTTTTTTTTTTTAAAAAAAAAAAAAAGTAATTTGAACCAGTTGTGATCTTACACAATTCTGTTTGAGGTCCTTGCAGTCTGTACTGGCACCTCTCATCTGCTTGTGACTTGCTGTCTGAGAAGGTAACAGATGGAAAGACAGTGTTTGGCTTCCCAAATAATCTTGTCCCAAAGGGCAGCCAGTGGTGCTCAGTTGCCAGTTGGCCCCTGATGGTGGAAGCCTTTCATATTTGAAAGGTGTCAGCTCTCTTTGACTTTCTCTTAACTTTATGGAGCTACATGTTAAAGAGATTACTTAATAATTGGAGAATAATAATGTATTACAGGATATTCACCACAACTTCTGGTGTAAATGTTAAACTTGATTCTTAAAAGGATAAAAGTTATTTATTCTGACATGCTTGAAGTGTTCAAGTAGTGAAATCATGTCTTTTGTAGGGCTTTATTTTGCCTGAGATTTCATGTAATGTTCTGTAACAATATGCCCTATGGATTGAAACATAACTGGTAATGAAATGGGGCTTCGAATCCTTTTGCTCTTGCATTTTCAATTTAATGATTTGAAGGGATTGCTCTCAGTCTTACAGTCTCAGTTGCTGCTGGGCCTGTATTGGATCAAAATCATTTGAGTCAAGAGCAGAAGAATGATGGAGTTAGTCTTCATTCCCAAAAAGGGAAGATTGGTTTGACACTAGATGCAAACAGGCATACAACACCCCTTTCAAAATCTCTGCAGTTATACCTGCAGGCATTAACATGGGGTCTACAATTCCTGTTTGCTTCAGGCTTGGTATTTGATGCTTCTTTGGGTGAGAATCGTAGATGGAGGCACGTTCCAAACAGGTGTGTTTATACACAGATGAACTAAATGTTTCCTTGTTAAATTTCTTGTTTGTTGAGACAGACCGGAGCTTTTCAAGATTAGTTCTTTACAATTTTGCCTATTTAATAAAATCTGGAAGTGCTACTGAATGTTCCTGATGTTAAATGAGAACCTCGAACGTGGGGCCTTCATTGGGGTGGCATGAGCTGTGTGTCTCTGTAAAGGGTAAATGGAACTGGTTTGTTGATACTCAGCACTCAGAGGATGGCAGCGTGCTCAGTTTAAGGACAAACTTGTTCCTCTGCATCCAGAAACCATGAAAGAACTGGGAAATAACTGGTAGCACAGAAAGGAATGGTGCGTGGGTGAGAGCTACTTACCAAGGGAACTTCCTCCTCCTCCTTTTCCTTCCCTTCCCTCTCCCCACAATAGACTTCAGGTACAAGCCTTATATTTTCTGGGTGCTTTCTGTTTACTAAAATAGGAATTCTTATTCATCAGCAGTAATAACACTGACTCTCGTTTTGGCTTTGCTTTTCCAGACCTCCTTCTGATGACCAACGTGAATTCCAAGCGATTTTTATCGGCAACCAAGCCCCCAACTTCCCATCCATTCCAGCTGGCAGCGACGCTTCTGATGCCGGAAGATCCCGATTCGAGACCACGCAAACACTTCTCTTAAACCTTCCTAGATGATTGTAGTTGCTTTGGCTGTGTTCTACGCTAGCAGAAGCCTTTTCCAAGGTCTGCTGTTGGCTCTAGAGCACCACCTTCCCCGTTTGCCGGGGGCTGGGAACATGGGAAACTCGTGCGTTTGCCGCGACGACAGCGGAGCGGAAGACAACGCGGAATCTCAGGGCCGGCAGGCGGAGAACAGCAGAGCGCACATCCCCGAGGCGAGGAGCCACCCAAGGGACCCTGTCCGGCCACCCAGGAGGGGTCGGGGGCCCCACGAGCCACGGAGGAAAAAACAGAATGTGGATGGGCTGGTGCTGGACACACTGGCTGTAATTCGGACGTTGGTGGATAAGTAAGTAACCTCCTCAAGGAATAACTCAACGTGAGTGAAAATGTTCTTGTCTTCTCTCAAACTGGGGGCTCCATCCTCTCACCGATCTCTGAAGCAGCCACCTGTGTTTGCCACCTGGAGGCTTAGGAGAGGAGCACCTTTCCTAGGTAACAGAAGTAGCTCCTGAGCGCCCAGGTACAGGTTCTTCCAGGAGCTGAGGAGCTTCCTCACAGTCCCTACACCCAGGTGGGATGAGGAGTGTGCTCAGTGTTTCTCACCTGGCACAGATAACACAGTTTAGGAAGCAATGAACACTGCAGAGTTTGGGAACTTCTCTCCTAAGAGTTGGTTGTTGGAGCGTTCTGTTCTCAGGCTGCATTTACTTCTTTGGAAATGGTGAAGCAAAACAGTGAGCTTTGATCTTTGGTAGCCTGGATAAACAGACTGAGGTTTTCTTTCCAGTTATGAGTCTGACTACTTTTTAAAGATCACATGTTGTGACTGCCCAGCTTCACAAGCCCAGTATTGCATTCCTTGCATGCTCAAAGCATCCATTAAGGGTGTGGAGGATATTTATGGGTTCATCCTTATTTTTATTTGGTTTTGTGTAGCTTTCTAAAAAGTTTTGAAAGGACCTTAAAAGTGATGGGTGAGGTTAGCTCATCACCTTTCTGGGTTAGGTGCAGGTTGGGAATTGGAAAGAGCAGAACAGAAGGAAAAACACTATTTGAGCTTCCCAACTGGGGCTTGAGTTTAAGGTGGACGAGGCTCAGAATAAGTGAGTCTTGATTCATACACCTGCATCGACTCTGGAATGGGCCTGCAGAGGAGTTTGCCTTCCTGCTGTAAGATGCTTTAAATGGAAATACCAGGACTGGGGTTTTTTCATGAACATTTAAACCTAAGCTGTGGTTTTTTTAACAGGTTTTATTTTGTGGTCTCTCTTCAAATCATGAAGTTGAAACCATGGCAAACGTTTCTGAAAGCCTCTGCCTAATCCTGCCTGCCTTCCCCTTTCCCCAAGTTCATCTCCTTAAGCTGTTTCACAACACTTTTGTGCACAGCTGATCCTGTTCCTGTGGGTCTTGCAATCAGTTTTGTAATCTTGTAAGCACTTTCCTATGCTACTGAGGGACAATAAGCACAGTTATTTCAGTGCCCCTGGACTCCTGTTTCTGACTAATTCCTGAAGCTACTGTATTTATTTTATTCCTTTTTTTTAGTGCAGACTGTAGTGAAAAACTTTCTTAGAGTCGTATAATCATGTGGGTTGGAAAGGACCTCTTGAAGTTCATCCACTCCAGCCTCCTGCATAAAATCCAGGTTTAGCCAGAGCAGGAGGCTCAGGGTTTTATCCAGTCAAGTGTTGAACATGCTCAGAATAAAGGGTTTCTCTACCTCTTTGGGTCCCTGTTGTGGTGTTTGACCATTTCAGTGTTTTAAATAATGAAATATATTTAAAAGTTGGAATTTCCCATGTTCCAACACAGTCCTCTCTCAGAAGAGCCCGACTGTCCTGTCTGCTCTGTCCCATTTTGTAGTTGCAGACAGAAATCTGATTTCTCCTGTCCTCTTCCCCCCTCAGGGATGAGAGACTGGAGAAATAAGTATGTTCCATTATCACCTGTTCTTCCTAGAGCCTGATTTTTTCAGTTTTGAAAACACCACAACTGAAGGAAATGGTAGGGAAGCTTAAAAATCTCTTTTTGTGTCAAGAAATGTGCAAGAATAAAGTCAAACTAAAGTAAAACAATGTAATGAGTAACAGCAGATTAGAAGTCTGGGCTGTGGAGCAAAAGATGGCTAAAGAATGGAAGGTAAAACTCTTTTCCTGATATACTGGAGGAAAAAAAAAAAAAAAAAACACCACAATCCAACTCTTTGTTTTAAATGTGACAATATAAAAATGAGTTAAACTTCACTTTAGCTTTTTCTTTTTTTTTGTGAGAAAAACATGTATTTACATCATATATATATTTCATCAAAACTGAGATTTTTTTTTTCCCTTTCTTTGATAATTAATCCCTCCAAGGTAGGTGTAATTAATGTTTGAAATTTTCTAAAAGTCCCCTGCATTTTGCATTTCCAGTTTCATTCCAGAGCTGTGTGACAGAAATTGAGTGTGGAACATGGAAATGTAAGCCAGGGGTTAGTTCCCAGTGCCTAAGGAGCACTGAATAAGGCATTGTAGGATGTGCTGCTGCATAAGCTTTTTCCTGGACCTGGAGGTTCTTACTGAACAGGATTTTGGGATCTTGCTTTGGGTTCTTTCAGGGGCAGTGCCTGCTTGGATACCCAGACCTGGCTGTGGCTCTGTGCCCTTGCTCCAGCAAACCAGACTGAGGAGATAATCTGTTGAACTTCTTGTTTTATCTTCTTCATCAGCTCTTGTTTGAAGGCTGTGATGCTGTTGGGTGGCTTGCCTTTCAGTTTTTTTTAATATTTATATATTTAGCAGAGAAGAAGAAATGCCCCTTGTGCAATTCCTGGTTCACTTCATGACCCCTGACACGCAGTCTCTCTGAGGAACCCTGCTAATGAACAGCACTAAGCCTGAGCATTATATTCAGCTTTTAGGCTTGCAGATGGGGATCACAGTTTCGCTGAGCAGCTGTTGCAGATATGCAGAGGTTGACTTTGAGCCAAAGAAAGGCTCAAAATCCCATCTGCGCTTCAGACCTGGAAGTGGCATTAGAGTTCTGCAGCCTGTGTAATGTCCTCTTGTTAACTGGTTCCTGGATTTGTTTCATGTCTGTGTATTACCATTTTATTCAGCCTGTTATGTTGATGACTGTGCATAAATTTTGACCTGTGTGATATCTCTTTCAGTGACCAGGAGCCTCCTTATTCAATGATCACGTTGCATGAAATGGCAGAAACAGGTATCGAGGCATTGTGTTGGACATTTCAGTTGTGACTCCTAAGCGAAAAAAAAACCAAAAACCCCAGAGCCCTCTTTCCTTTGCAAATTAAAATCCATGCTATCAGGATGTGGTACAACTTGCTACAGCTCTGGGGATGTACTCCTTGGTTTGGTTTGGGGTTTGCTGACCTTTGACCTCTGCTTTACCGATGTAGTTGTTCTAACTCTGTCCCTGAGTGCTCCTGTGAGATGAGCCAAGTTAGTGCAGGGGCTCTTCTACCCTTGTTAGAGCAGGAGAAATTCTCCCAGCTCAAGATCTCCACCAAACTTCTGGTTTAGGTGAATTTTAGTCTCTCCACCAGCAGAGTTGATACCGGTCTGAGGAAATATATTTCTGTATGAAAATAAATTTATCAACCTGGTTAGATATTCCAGCAATTCAGTAAAATGGTTTTCAGGGGAATGTGCTGACAAAACTCAAACCCCAGTGAGTTACTGCTGTGTGCTTGTCACTGTTGGAGGCAGCAACATCATCACTTCAGCCTCACTTGCCTGTATACAGATACAGACTCTTTATTTTCACTTCTGAGGGAGTTACTTTCCTGTAAATCCAGATTTGTTTATTGATAGGTTAACATCTTATATGTGGATTGTTGTTTGCTTGCAAGCAAAAGCCCTCGTCTAACTCACTCAACAGTGAGAGCTGTTCCTTAGGAAAACAAACTTTCTCTAGACCAGCAGGCATGGGACAAACTGGTGGAGTTTCCCTGAGGCCCCTGTTACTTGAGGGAACTCAGGAAGAGTGATCTGAGTGTGGTTAAAACTATTTCCTTGTCATTGTGGGTGCAGCATTTAACACTTGAGAGTTGGCACTGGATGCTGAACTCTTGAGTGTCACACCAGAACCAAGTGCACCAGGAGCAGCCCTTCCCAACAGCAGTGGGAACCAAAGGATGGCCTGGGCAAGATTGCTCTCCAAACAGCAGGGCTTTCACTATTACCCAACCTCCTATAAGCTTTTTTTTTTTTCCTTCTGGAATTTAAACTTCTAAAGTAGTGATGTAAAAAGTGAACTGTTCTCCCTGGTGTCTGCAAACCCGCTGGGTAATCTGGAGGATTTTTCAGTTTACACTTAGGGGGGATGTATTTTGAACACTTTCAGGACTGCAGTGTTAATTCTGAGCGTCGCTTCTGTTTTGTGGTTGACAGATGAAGGCTGGTTGGAAGTTGTCCAATCTTTAATTAGAGTTATTCCATTAGAAGATCCCCTGGGACCAGCTGTTATAACGCTGCTGCTCGATGAATGTCCACTGCCAACAAAAGTGAGTCGCGAGCAAATGTGTTTATCTGTGGCTGAACGTCGGTTACTCGTGGTTGCCACACCCATGATCTGTTAAGGGTGGGTTTCGCCAGTGAAGCAAGACCGTCAGTGGTTCAGAAAAGGGGTGTAACCTTCGACTTGGAGTAATTTGTGGTGACTTGGTATCTAAGTGCTAATTATTGCTTGAAGCATTCTCTTCCCCCCCCCCCCCAAAAAAAAAAAAAAATTATTTATAGGAAAGAGCAAGAGCTCTTTGGGCTTCAGCTGTTGCTGCCCTCCCCTGCCATGGGGTACAGAGAGCCCTGTGCTGTGCAGGTGCTGCAGGAGCTGTTCAAGTTCTGCCCTTCTGTTCTCACCTTCAGAAAGCTGCACGTTTACAAGTCACTGTTGAATTTGTTCCTACCCTGCACGTAAGGAATGCAGCTCAAGGGGGTTGTGTTAAGTGAAACAAATGACATGTTTGAATTATGAAATATCTATATTGTTTTGGTTAATTAGAGTATATATATGTATATATATATGTTTGTTTTTTTTTTTTTTTTACTGACCACTGATCTGGTTTTGGGTGGGAAAATGACCTGAGGTGTTCACATTGTGTTGGTGCAGGTGGGTTAGTGCTTTAACATGCTGAACATAATGATTGTACAGAGAACTTGTCTGTCTTCAAATGCTTGTCATGATGTCACTTCTTCAGAAACTGATGATCACATCACTGCAGCCTTCATTTCTCCAGCTGCTGATGCTGCCAGGTCTAGTTTTCCACTGGTGGTGGTAGGGATATAAAAAGCTGGTTCCACGAGTGGCTGAAGAACTAGTCAGGCTCTCAAACTACCTGAAATGGGTTTGTTTCCTCTTGGCTAAATTGACTAAAGGCATCTGAGGCATTTTGAACACGAGAAGTGTAATTCTGACTGTCACACGGAGCTGCAGCTGTGGGATGTGCTGCTCCCATGCAGCCTAGTGAAGTGTGTGCCGCTGTTCATAAGCTTAAAAGTTTTTGGTCTTAAGGATTTTTAGGTCAGTGCCCCACTTCCACGACAGCTGGGAAACAGCAGCAGGCTGTATTTCATTTTCTGTTACTGCAGGCTATGAAAGTCCATAAGGTTAAAATGGCAGTGCAGTAAACTGTTTATTCTGTAAAGTCTTTATTTAACTCAAAATAGTTGATCTCTGACAGATCTAATAATGGCTAAAAGCAGTATCAGAGTATGTCAAGAGTCTAATTTTAGTGAGGCTTTTTCATCCCAAGTCCATGGCTTAGTCATTTTCTTCTTTCTCTGTTCTTTCCACTTAGCTCAGTCCTGTTCATCAGTTCTGTTTTTGTGGCTTTCCTTTTAAGAACATAACTACTTTTCAGTGTGATCTCTGGACAGACCTCAGACTTCAGCACAGTAAACTGATTTTAGTGTGGCTCAGGACACAGTTCAAAAAGCCACATCTATTCCACTTGAGCAGCGCTCATTTTTCCTCCAAATGGCTGCTGATGACTTCAATATGAGGAGTCCTTCTATTTTAATTAGATCCTTGCCTGAGATTATGCAGTTTCAATCTGAATCAGCTGAAACTTTCATGAAGTCTGGAAAGTTGAAGATGATTTGGAACTTTGCAGGGTGAGGTTCTCCCCGTGGGATGACTTGTTCTGGCTCTAGATTAACCCCTAACTACCCTGAAAATGCAGGATATGCTCTAGACCTGTCTTGAATTTTATCCATGCCATCCTGCCTGAATGAAGCAAGTCATTTTAGATTTATTACCCTCATTCACTTCCCAAATTCATGTGACTACATAAAGCCATTTATGCTCTCAGGAATACCATTTATGACATCCTGGCAAGCTGACAGCATCCTAAATTTATTATGGGAATGTGGGCTTTTTTTAGGGGGTGGGGGGTGGGGGACATGTCTCTTTAGTCCTGAGTTCTAAAATCTGAAACAATCCTTTTCTTTTGGAAAAAGGGTGTGATTTTAGGACACTGGAAACCGTTAGATGTCATATGTGCTGATTGGGTATTGTTTGCCTTTATCTACTTATAACATAGGTATGCCCACAAATGTCCTGAGCTGCTGATCACTGCAGCGACCAGCAGTCTGGTGGTGGTTTTAAAGTTACAATTCTTGGGTCTGTCGACCTTTTCTTCCCATCTGTTCTTTATTACCTTATCTTAGAAGATAATCACCCCGTGCTGTCTGTTAGGCGAGGCTGACTCCGGTAACAATCATTCGTTGCGATGTGTTGAGCTGCATCTGTCAGTAAATGTTAAAGAGATTTCTGACTTTTTTTTTTTTTTTTTTTCCCCTTTTGCAGGATGCATTACAGAAGTTAACAGAAATCTTGAACTTGAGTGGGGCTGCTGCTTGCCAGGACGCCTGTCACCCTGCCAAGCACCGCAACACGACCGCAGTGCTCGGCTGCTTGGCAGAGAAGTTGGCAGGTAAAGCCCTGGGGTCCTTCTGACAGCTGGCACTGGGCTTGTTGCTGCAGCACCTTCTGCTTTAAGTAGCCACGATGCAGACGAGGTCAGGGGTGTTTTCTGAGGGCTGATTGATGTTCTGCATCAAGGTGGGGGACTAGGGGTGATGAGCGTGGCAGAATCTGCTCGATTAAAATGTCGAATCTCACCAGCCGGGGTTTGAACGAGCCGCTCACAAATCCTCCTGATGCCTGGCTAGTGATTGAGGATCGATGTTTCTGGAATGTTGTGTTTCTGGAGCCTTAGCACTGGTAATCAGTCTCCTCTGTAGACCTGCTCTGTGAATTACTGAGGACATATTCCTTACCCAGTAGGCAGAAGTATCAAACTGGTGGCCTTGGAGGCTGTATAGAAACAAACAAACAAAAAAAAAAAACCCAAAAAACTTTTTCCCATAGACATGTCTTGTTCTATTGTAGTCACCTGAAAATATTCTCTCTTCTGTGTTATTTAAAAGAAAATTGCTGAGATTCTATTTTAAAGTGACTTTTCATATAGAATTTTTACTCCCTGTTATTTCCAGTACCCTGTTTGGAAACTGATGATTAAGTTTCTTTCCTGCTGATGGACTGGTTTATATCTAGAGGGGATTTTTTTGCTCCTTTCCTGAAAGTGGATATGAAATAAAGGAAAAAAGCGATTGTCCAGTACCACTTCATGGTTATTAAAAAACAATTTCTGTCAAAAAAGAAAATAAAGAACAAGGGCTGGAAGCATTTTTGTACTGCAATATTTCTACCCTATTATACTAAATCAAAATGAGATCCTGTACCTCTTTTCATCTTACAGATCTCGTTGTATCAGCTCAGGCAGCAAATCTGTCAGTGCAGTGTTGGAACCCACTGCAATTTGTCAGAGTTTGTAAATGCCAGAATTTGATTCCCTTTTGATTCACCAGACAGTATTTCAGGGCTTTTCTGTTTTAATTTGGCTGCTTGCTGTGGTGCTGCTGCAAACTGTGGAATTACCTGTCAAGTTGGTGACATCAGATGCTCACTTCTGATTGTTTTGGGCTACTGGTAAAGGGAGCTGGACTTCACTTGTTGACCCTGAAAGTAAAAGGCTGTGAGTCTCTTCTGGAAAGCAATGAGCATGAAAATGCTGGGTGGAGTCTTATTTCAAACTCTCAGAAGCATGACTAGAACCTACAGCAGATAAGCTGGAAAGGACTGTGAAGTGCCAGTAACTGTAATTATTAAAAGTGCAGCAAGTATTTGACTGGGAACAATGATAACTGTTCTGCATTAGATGGCTGTGAAACTCTCAGATGTTCTTCAGTTTGTTGCCTTGTGTTTGGAAGATCTGTGGTGGTGATGATGAGTGTGTGGCAGTTGCCACGGAGGGGTTTCATTCCTGGTGTTCTTGCAGGTCCTGCGAGCATCGGCTTACTCAGCCCAGGAATATTGGAATATTTACTTCAGAGCTTGGTGAGTGTCTCTGATCTTCCTGTGGGTATCCATGCATAGCGATTATAATGCAATTTTTATTATTATTCTTGTGAAAAGTTTGGTAAATACTGGAAGTGTGTTATAGAAAGGTGAGATTCCAGAGTCTGTGGTAATTACGGGTCAGTGGGACGAGTTTCTGGGTAGCCTGATCTACTGAACCCAACTTTCCACAGGAGGGGGGAATACAGGACCTTCAGAGGTTCCTTTGAACCTGAAACATTCTGTGACAGACTCACAGCTCTCCCTGTCCATCTGTGCTGGGTATTTATCAAATAACTCTTCTTACTGTCCTTGTTTAGAACTTCCAGTCCCACCCGACAGTGATGCTTTTTGCACTGATAGCACTGGAGAAGTTTGCACAAACAAGTGAGTATTGGCCTGATGCTGCTGTCAACAGTCACCCTGTGGCTCCTGCTGCAGGATTGTCCCTTTGCCTGATCACAGCTCTGAGCACGAGAGACTGGACTGGTGGAATCAATTGGGAGTTTGTAGGCAGGAAAAAAAAAAACCCACAACATTTATTGCTTTAATGACACCCCCACCCACAAACCCTTGATAGATTTGCTGAAACTCAGTCCTCAGCTTAGAAATTACTACATAATGACTTACAACATGAGACCTTTGTTACCTGAAAAGAAATAAATCTGTCCTGGAGAGAGGGAGAGCAGCTGTCATCTGTCTCTTGATGGTGCAGCTCTGTGCTGAGAAGTGGTAAATCTGTGGTAAATCTGAGGGAGGGTAATTTCACATCTGCTTGGGGAAAGAATTTCATGCTGTTTGTAAAATAGTGAGGTTTAAATGTGTGTGGAGGGTTCTGCTGCATTTGTAGGATGTTACTATTTTTAACTAAACTTATCCCTCGCTTATGGCAATCATCCTTTTCGCTCTTAAATTGCAGGTGAAAATAAAATGACAGTTTCTGAATCGTGCATTAGTGACCAACTGATCTTGCTCGAGAAGTGGACAGATAATCCAGACTACCTAAAACGCCAGGTTGGATTCTGTGCCCAGTGGAGTTTAGACAATCTGTGTAGGTATAACAAAGGGATGGATTCACTTAATATTAAACACTTCTCCAAAGAGGATGGAGGACTGCTCTGTGTTTGTTTTGTGTAAGCACTTACTACACCTGACTGCATTTGTAATATCTCCTTGAAAAAGAGAACAAAACAAAACAAAACAAAAAACCCCAGCAAATATATCTGATGTAATTCCATGGAAAGGAAATTTTGGCAAGGAAAATGTTTTTTTTTTGAAGGAAGCAGTGTGGAGCTGCAGTTGAAAATTCTTCTTTGCACCAGTTTCCTGCAAGCCACGTTTGAGCAAATGTGCTGAGTGGCTCAGCAGTGCAGCTCTGCCTCTGTGGAACAGCTGGAGTGCTGACAAGTCCTGGTGGCTGTCACTGCTGTGGTCATATCCCAAGGGATGTTAATCATCCAGTAGATAGACCTAGCTATCATCAGATTTGCTTGTTTGGTTGTGATTTCAAGGGTGCAGCAGCTCTTGAGAACCTCGCAGTTTCCAGTTCCTTTTAGATAAATTTGGGTGAAAGGTGTGTTGGGCTTTATGTGCCAGTGTTAGTTTAGTCTGTGGAAGTCTTGTAGCGAGTTTGGGATGTATGAAGGTAGGATCTTTGATTTCTAAATTAACATGTTATGTGTCAGCAGTTTGATGGCAGGATAAATGCTTCTGATCCTTCCATGTGGAAAGGGGAAGCAGGGGGAGACAGAGCTGTTCTGGCTCCATTTAAGTTCATCACCTACCTGGAAATGAGAGGATAAAACTTAGTTTTTTTTAAAGTTCTTATTTTTCCCCCTTCTTCCCATCCCCAAATCTTTTCCACTGTGGTGAATCAGGAAAAAAACTTCTACCCAGCTGAATATACAAATAAAATGGCAAGTCCTGAAGCAGTGGCACCTGAAAGCAGCAATTAGATTGTGGGAGCTCCAGTCAGAGGAGCAGGTCATGCTTTCATGTTTAGAGAGGATATTTAACACACAGTGCATTGCAAGCTGTTTTCGTGCAGGCAGGATGTTAACACTTCATTCAGTTATGCCCAAAAATCACCTGGATGGCAGGGGGAGATGGATTATCACTGTGTGACAATGCTTCAGATCAGGTTTTGCTACAGCAGTGATTAAAACTGGTTTTGTTTTGCAGTTTTAAAAGAAGGCAGGCAGTTTACATATGAGAAGGTTGACTTGACCAACATCAGGGCTATGCTGAACAGTAATGATGTCAGTGAATACCTGAAGATCTCGCCACATGGATTAGAGGTAGGATGTTGTTTCATGGCTTCAACCTGAAAAAGTTTGAAGAAAAAGGCAGGTTTCAACTACTTGGTTTGCTACTTCCTGCAGCGATTTTTTCTGGAATTAATCCAAGTTCTCTGCCAGCTTTGTAGAGGAAATTTGCTTTGTCATCAGGAGGGTTGTAACATCACTACACTGATCTCAACTGTAGAAACTTTCAAACTAAAGTAGTGCCTGTATCTGTGCCCCAGAACTTCAGAGAAATCAGGAGGATGCTTGAGTCAGCTGGCTTTTCACTCACTTTGATTAAAATTAAACAAAGTATAATTCTATTGTTTATCCTGTGTAGTCTTGAAAAGAGCATCAGATTTTTGTCTCAGCCATGTGGGATTTTTTTTTCCCCTCTGTAACTCCTTCTAAAAACTTGTTTAACTACTTAAGAGATAAATTTTCATGACTTAACATTGAATACCTCCTTGTCCTTCATACCAGAAGTCAGCTAATGACCAGTGATTTAAGTCTTCCTGTCTTGGTTGTCTTAGTCCTTTAAATCTTTAAATTGACTTTGTCAACTTCCTACTCCTTCTTTTTTTCCTGTGGCTTTAACCACTGAGCAATTTTCAGCCTTGCCTCCTCGCTGGTTTTTGTGATAATTACTGCTATAAAGAGAGGTCACTCTGTCTGAAGTGCCTCTAAAATTATGTCAGTATATTCTTACATGCAAGAAACTTGATCCAGGGGAGGAGAGTTTTGAGTGCTCACTGGGGGGTGGAAGGTGAATTTTTGGTTTGGTTTTGGCAGGCTCGGTGCGACGCCTCCTCCTTCGAAAGCGTCAGGTGCACGTTCTGTGTCGATTCTGGAGTCTGGTACTACGAAGTGACAGTCATCACCTCGGGGGTGATGCAGATAGGATGGGCTACCAAAGACAGCAAATTTCTCAACCACGTGAGTACACGTGGTGGTGTCACCGAGCTGGTGATGTCACATCGGTGTTTTTCCACTTGCAGCGCCTGTGAAAATAGCTCTGGTTGTTCTGTGCTGGTGACTGAGCACTTGGTTGTTACCTTCAGGTTTTCTGGGCCTCCATGAAGCTGTTTTTGTTGAATTTGGTGGCGCAAGAGAGATCTGTATTGTCACTGGTGCAGACTGACCCTGTTCACCCCAGTCCTGCAGAGCTGCTAAAAATGACAACTTATCTGCTTGCTGTTGTCTGGAAGCTGCGGGAAACTTGTTTCTTGTGGCTTATTCTCTTCTTGGAAATTCTTCAGATAGCTGTGGTTACTGTCTGGTTTTGTAAATAAACAGTAAATCACTAGGAACCAGCAGTTCACCATGCACTCTTTTACACAGGTCAGCAAGCAGCCCTCTTGGACAGGCTTTCCTCTTAAATTAACTTTCATAAGGGAAAGAACTTACTTCAATTGACACTGGGATAGCATGATATTATTTGGTCTGCTGAGAGCAGCAATGTGGTACAGTTTGGGGGTGTGAAAGCTTCTTTTTAATTAAAAATAAGGATTACAAAAGGATTAAAACCTTCTACCCCTTTGCCTTTATTCTGGTAGTCCAGAACAACTGACATATTTTATAGTTTGCTTTGCTGTCCTTCTCATCCAGATAACTTTGTATGTTATTCTTAATTCTAAGCTGGAATTTTAGGACTGAAAGTCATGTCTGGCCTCACCTACTGCTGAGAATGGAAAGACAGCACTGGGATTTTAAGTTGACTCTTCTACTGGCTGAACTTGAGTTTAAAAAAATACACCTATAGCCCTTCTTTACTGTCTAGCTTTACTTCCTAGCATGGAATGGAAGTGTGATTTAAATTTAAACTAAAAAAAAAATAAGTAAACCCCACACACACACAAAAAAAGAAAAAAATACAATGCAGACCTGTGCTGAGCACAGGCCTTGTAGACACTGAGTGTAATAGAAACTGTTGGAAATAAAAGGCCATGTGTCTGCCTTTAGACTGCTAAGAGGCTTAAAAGATTTTTTTTTCCCCCCACTTACTGTTAAGGAGCTTGGTGTATGTCCATTTTTCTGTGAGTGCAAGGTAGGAAAATGGGAGATGTTTCATCTCTGAGCAGGGTGATTTTCCTGTTGCTGCTGCTGCTGCTGCTTTGCTGGTGGCTAAATTTGACTGTTCTCTGAGTTCATCAAGTGTGTGCCCCTGAAATACAAGGACATCATCATCTGGGTATGTCCCAATCACAGCCCTCAGAAGCCACATGCTCTTTATTTACAGCGTGTGTAACAAAGAGACCAGCCCTAAATATGACATTAAACACCCATTAGCTGGGCTTAGCTTTAATTTGGGACATGGGGGCCTTGTGTAATCAGGTGCTGCCTGGTATTTGCACTCCAGACAAATCATTGCTGAGCCTGAGGAGGTTTCTTACCTTCCATGACACTTTGGGGTTTCACGTTTGGGCTCTGCTACGTGACAGATTTCTTTTTTTTTCTCCCACTCTGAAACTCTTAGTTTGTGTTTTGCCTTGGACCTTATCACTTGGTAATGTTTTCACACTTCGAGGGAGGGCTGGCACTGAAAAGGAACACAATATGCAACAAATTCTGCGAAGGGGCTGTGGGTTTGTTCTTTGTGTGCTGCGGGTTCTGGTGGCACGTGGGTATCTCGTGGGGGAAGGCACTGCAAGTTTTTGGTGCTGGGACTTCAAGATAAAAGAGCTGTTACCATTCTGTGGTGACCTTTTAAGATGCAGAAATTTTTAACGTGGCTCTTTGGGTACTGGCCTTCTGATTATTAAATATTTTAACAGACAGGAGTGGCTTGAGGTCACAGAGAATGGAAACAATATCCACTTCTCCCCAACAAATTCCTTTTCTCTGTGAAAACGAAACTACGACTGGTTTGAAAAAAAAAAACAAACACAAAAACATTACCCTGATGAAAGTGGGAGAAACCCTTCCTGTTCTTAGAGGAGTGGTTCAGGTGCATAAAAACAAGCTGTTCTGTGGGAGGAAGGGCTGCAGACTGAAATGCTCCGCTCTCTTTATCTAAAGGAAGGTTACGGCATCGGGGACGACGAGTACTCCTGCGCGTACGACGGCTGCCGGCAGCTGATCTGGTACAACGCCAGAAGTAAACCACATTCCCATCCCTGCTGGAAAGAAGGTATTCAGCCCATCTTCTGCTTATCCCAACTGGATTTCTGCACAGGGTTTTGTTCTTTTTTTTAACTCTTGCAGGTGTCTGTTAGTGTGTGTGAACAGAGCTGTTGGCTCCCTAATCCCAATGATCCTGAAAGGTTTAAGAATTATTGCATCTCCAGCACTGGTTTGAACGTGCCAAGTGGGCATTACAGTCTTGCTGCCCAGTTTGTGTGAGGAGAATCTTGTTGCTTAAGTAGTTTTTTCTTTTCAAAGGCAGAGCACAGACCACAGCACCAATTAACATTGCTGGACATTTAATCATAAGACTTTTAATCATAAGGCTTTTTTTCCAGATGTTTGTAGCCCTACAAAAGCAAGGCTGAAATCTTCTTTTCTGGGTTCAAAGAGTTATTGTAGAGAAGGGGAAAAAAAACTTGATTTCTCAATTAGACTTTTTTTTTTTTTTTTTTTTTAAGGAGGAGTTGCACTGTCTTGCTTACTTTAAATTCTTGGATAACTACTTGGACAGCAAAAGTTCTGTTCTTGATCTCAGCTTTGAAATCTTGGTAGGAGCCTGTGCATGCCATGCTTGTGTGAACTGTGCCACCTTCTCTCCTATGAAAACTTTCTCCCAAGGATGGCTAAATGAAAACACCTCTTAAAAAGCACAAGCAGATTGGAAATTTATCCCCAGAACACACACTTGCTAAAGTCTATCTTCCAACAGGGGTAAAATAGCCAAGGAGTGACAGAGTGCAGCTTTGGCAAATACTCTGCAATATTTCTATAACTGTGTAGTATTAATGCTCTGGCAGACTAAAATACTTTATTTTTATTTACTATTTTCCTCTTTTTTTTTTTTTAATTACTGTCTGTATCAATGTCTCCTCCTTTGTGCTTTTGCAAACAGTTCCTTTTAAGTGAGACAACTCACAGTGACATGTGATACTCAAAACAATAACTGTTTCAGCTGGTGGCATTTAACAGAAGTGAAATCTTTAAATTATCTCTTGTTTTGCATGTAAGGAGACACAATAGGATTTCTACTAGACTTGCAAGAAAAGCAAATGATCTTCTATTTAAATGGAAACCAGCTTCCTGCTGAGAAGCAAGTATTTTCATCTGCTGTGTAAGTATTATGCTCATTTGGAAGGACATGACCTCTGTGGGTAATTGTTTTAGTTATATGAAGAGTTTCTAATTTGAGATGTAAATTCGTATTTACTTACCTGAAGCCATCATTATGCAGGTTTCCCAGTTGAAAGTTGCTTAGCAAGCAAGAAGGATATAATTTTACAGGTGGATTTCAGGGTGCAAAATAAATACTTTGGACTTTCCAAAGGTAGGTTCAACCTGATGTTTTCTACTGTCAAATTAGCGCAGCATTAGAGTAGAAGGAGGCTGTAGCAAAGATCAGCAATTTTCTGGTGCTTGAGGAATTTTTCCTCTTTTAAAAAATAAAGCCTCAGTCCTGTAAATGCTGAAGGGTCCAAATTAATTGATTGCCATTCCCTGGGGACAGCTCCTGGAGTAGCACATTGAGTATATTGAGGGGAGGACATCTCTTGGTAGCATTACAGAAAGGTGTTTAGGTTTATTTTTGCAAACTCCTGTAAAAATGAACACGTGGCTGGCTCCTCCAACTCTCATAGGGAGTTTCAGCCTTTCAGTTCTGAAAACATAAGCTGCTGTAATACTTGATAAAGCAGCTTCCTGTGTAGCTTAATTAAACATTACAGTACTTTGTAAATTAATCCTCCTGTGTCCCAGAGGCAAAGAGTAGTTCAGTGTAAAGAGTTGCAGAGTATCTTGTCTGTTCAGCTTGCAGTTCTTTGAGTATGTAATTTATATATTCAGTAATACCCTAACAAGTACTTGAACTTGGGCCCTCGAGTCAATAAATCTGAAAGAGGCAATAGCTGTGTTTTCACAAGCTGTCTGTGTGGCTGTGAAGAAAAGGCAGCTGTCCTGAGAGAATCCTGCACAGGCCAGGAGGAACCAAGTGGGTGTTGTGTGCTGGGAGAGCTCAGACCTGGGCTCCTCCTGCACAGGTCCTTCACAAACCTACAAGAGCTTCAAGTTCCTCAACTTTGTGCCTGCTCAGGTAAACCAGAAGGAGCAGAGGACGTGGAGGTGTCCCTTGCACTGGTGCTGTTCCTCACAGCTCTGCCAACAGCAGCTGTTTGGGAGAAAAAACACTTCTTTCCACTTCTGAAGGAGATGGCTGAGCTGCTCAGTGCAAGGAGGTTGTAGGAATTCAGATAGATGTGTCTGCTCCTGGTGTAAGTGTGACTAATCCTGGTTGTAGAGTAGGCAGTGTGGGCTGAGTCAAATAGGAAATTCCGATAAATTCAGGAGTTGAGAACTAAACAAGGTGCGTGTAGCTGACAGTGGATGTTCTCCATCTCTGCAAAACTCTGGTATTGAAGGGACTTGTCTCTTGGTCTCAGGGTATATTTTTGTATGGTAATAGCAGTAACATGTCTAGAAAGCTCTGCTGTTCTTTAAGTCATTCTAAAATACCTGTCCATCACGTTGCAGGTCTGGCTTTTTTGCTGCAGCGAGTTTCATGTCCTATCAGCAATGTGAGTTCAACTTTGGGGCAAAACCCTTCAAGTACCCCCCAGCAATGAAGTTTAGTACCTTCAACGATTATGCCTTTCTGACAGCAGAGGAGAAAATCATTTTGCCCAGGTAATCCTGCTGTCTTGGTTTGTGTGTTTGCCTGCAGAGAAAGAAAATGCTTCACTTCTGAGTTGCAGAGTCCTGTGTTGTGCTAAGCAAAGTGAATTTTTTATGAGGTCATGCTTCCATGGGTCCCTTTCCTCAAAGGATGAGACAACAGGCTCCAGTGCAATTTACATGAGTAGGGCAGGGGATGTGCAACCAAAATCCATGAAATTAAAGTATTTGTTTGTTCAATATTAAGCTAAGTTAAAATTAACTAGTACCACACAGCTGTTTTTAGTAAAAGTATTTCCTGCCACCTAAGAAGGGTGAGCTTGGTTAAGGAGGTATAGTCTTAATTAAAATAAGATGTTATATTTAAAATTGGCCTAATTTGTGATTTGGCAGGATGGAGGTACTGAATGATTCTAAGTCTTGAATTTTGCCTTCTTTTTTGATCCAGATGAAAATTGCCCTGCTTGTGAAGGATAGTACTGACAAAGGTCATTCAAATTTAGAACTGTTTTCCCATCTAAATATAAACCAAGCCAGATAGAAACGGGTTTGGGCACATTTTTCTTCAACAAATTTCTGGCAGGAACAAAACCTAATAAATCGCTGGGTTTTGTCTGGTTTCAGTTATTAGTCATACAATAACTTCCTGGAACACAAACAGTAACAGTATTCAGTGTAATCTGGGATATGGTGTACCCTGGATTTCCTGTCTGAAGATGGCCCTTGGACTGGTGCTGATGTGTGTGTTGGTTGAAATTATCTTAGGTTGCACCTAATTAAAGTGGGAGCTGTTGGGGGTGGGGGGGGGTACCCCTGGCTGTAGTGAAATTTGGAGACTGGTTTTGAATTACCAAGCTCTTCAGTCAAGTGCACTTTAGGTACTTCGGTATCTTAGTGTTTAAAAAGAAAAGGAAAACAAAAAAATACCCCTGGATTGGAGTCGCACATTGGCAAAGTTGGTACAATTTTGTTCATCCCCCTTTTCAGATGAAATGTTCCAGGCTCCATTCGAGGTTGGACACTGTTGTTGTAGCCAGTTCTAAAAAAGATAGCTCTGATCATCTTAGAAGTGATAGGAAATAAGGCAAGGGCTTGTATGAGTTGACCCTAATTATCCATCTCAGGATTTAACATAAACTCATGTAGAATTGTGCTGAATTCAGTGCAACTAAAATGTGAAATGTCTTATTTCATCAAATAAGGGATTTTTATCTGTTTACTCTCCCTTGTGGCTGTTGATTTTATTTTTGATTTTTATTCTTTTGAACTGCGTTAGAGCATTGTAGGGCTTCTGAATTTTTTTGATGCGTGGGCTTGTGAGGTTTATTTGAGTTGGGGTTGCTTTGATTCAAACTGATGTGTTTGAGGGGTGCTTTCTCTCTCTTTCCCCTCAGACACAGGCGCCTGGCTCTGTTGAAGCAAGTGAGCATCCGAGAGAACTGCTGCACCCTTTGCTGTGATGAGGTAGCAGACACAGAACTCAGGCCGTGTGGACACAGGTAAAACCTTCAAAACCAACCCAAAGGAACGGGAAATTGTTGTGTGTGGCATTCAGCTTAGATGAGCAGTCCCTGCTTGTCTTGACTTCCCAGCATGAAGGAAATAACCTACCCTTCTTTTAAGGATGTGACAAGTAGAGGATAAGCACAGTATTCCCACCACTCCCCTCACCCTAGACCTGAGCAGATTGAATCCCTAATTGTGTGTGTGTTTGGGGAAGTTCTGTGGCTACAGTGTGTGTGTGCTACCCCTGAGCTACCAAGTCTGAATTCCCTGGTGTCAAAGGCTCTTCTGATTAGTGCTTGGTAGAGATGCTGTGAAATCCAGATCACGTGAGGAGAGGAGAAAATTCAAAATATACTCAAATAGTCCATTAATGTTCAACAAATGGATTGTCCCAAGTCACAAAATCCTCTAAAAGCTAAAAATGGGGCAGCAGTACAAGTTTATGCCATAATAGCACTTTCCTTCCTTCAAGCAGGAAATTAATTAAGTCCAGTTCCTTAGGGTTTTCAGAGCACTCCTGGAAGGAGTCTTGCCATGGGTGTAAATGCTGGAAGGTTAAAAAGAGATGTGACAGGTGTGTGTCAACAATAAGTGGAGGAGCTTCCTGCAGGGCACTGGGGCTGCTGCTCTGCAGAGTGAGTGCAGAGATTAATGAACAGCAGGCAAGTGTGATGCTGAGCAGGAGCTGCTCTCGAAGCCTGCACACAGATCCTCAGCACCTGACTTGCAATACCCAGTCTCCACACTGAAGTATTTAACTTGGCTGTGTCTCTGGCAGGCTGACTGAACTGCTTTAGTGCTTGTGTTATGCTGTTGTTGTTTAGTTCAAGTGCAGGCTTTAAGTGACTCTCTTTTTCTTCTCCTTCAGCGACCTGTGCATGGAGTGTGCCTTGCAACTGGAGACCTGCCCTTTGTGCCGACAGGAAATACAAACCCGAGTCAGACAGATCTCTCACATTTCATGACACACGTGGAGAAACACCACAGACTTGTTTGCAGTGAACACCAACCAGTACTGAAAGGGGAAAGCATCTCTACCCAATCTTTATGCACATAGAACCATAGCCACGGCCAGATTTCATGCTAACCCGTTAATCTGTTTATCTTAAAAACCGAGATCTTTAATAAGCTATCTCCAGCTTGCCAGCAATGGGAGCTGGTTCCAGCAGTAAGGAGAGCTGCTAGGTCAGCGTGCTGTGGCTGTTGGTTCCTCTGAAGAGCAGAGGGGAGTGTCTCTCCTTCCCCCTTTCCTTCTCGCCTGTCGCAAGTGCTGAAGAAATTTGCACTGGAAGTTACACGTACAATGCATTTTAGACAAGAAGAGAGAATAAGTGTCTCCCAAAACAGGGCCGTGCTGTCTTGTGCTCGAAAAGTCTCTATTTTTGGCAGAAGTCAGTACTGAAAAGAGAATGCCAATGTTTTCCTGTTTAATGTAGCCTCCTGCTGGTCAGAGACTCTGTGTTTTCCAATAGTGGATATTGAACTGCTCAGAGACTGAATCTGTACACAGACTGATTTGAGAAGACAGTGTGGAGACTGTAGAGAAACTCACAGGTTTTAATAACTTGGTGATTCCAAAGAATGTTCTGATTTGTTTTTAAATGTTAAGAGATCGGTGGTATTTTCAAGTACATAATGTTTCTGATGCTTTTAACTTCAGTACCCACGTTTTTTTGTGAGGTTATAATTTTCAGGAGGTATTCTTAACTAATTATAATGCTGGACTGGAATTAATTTGATATTCTGGGTATTTTTTAAGGTATCATTGAACATCTTTTTTAATCAGTGTTGTTTTTGAAAGTTATATTCACTTTGGAAAAATCGAGCTATCTTAAAATATTAGAGGATAATTTGGGGCCAGTTTATTTAAAAAAGGTTATTTGGGTACCAATTTCAGTCTTATTCTGTAACTCCTTAAAAATGCACCTTGCTTGCCATGTGTCAGTCCTGCTCTGAGCAGGTTTGGGGGCCACACTTCATATTTTTGGTAGGGATCATACAGTGGGAAACTCTGTTCCACTTGAATTACACATTCGTGATGCTTGTATGTTGAGGATGCATTTCAGCAGGCAGCTCTTGACTGGTTTACTAGGTTTCTCCAAGGAATCAGGGTTCACAGCTGGGGTCAGTGAAGTAGCACAAAAATCAGTGGAGTTCTGCTTATTTTGCACCAACTGAGGATACGACTCCGTCTCTTCCAAGACTTGCACAGTTTGATTTTTTTTTTTTTGATTTTTTTATTTTTTAAATTGTCTGTCTGTGAAGTGGAACTTTACTAATTCACACACAATTCACACCAAAACCATCCCACTTCTTGGCAGCGATTCAACAGCAGAGGCTGTTGTGAATTCTCACGCTGCGATGTAGCTTATTTTTAAAGTCGTTTATTATATTTTATTGTACTATCAAATATTAACAAAGCAGAGCCGAGGCTTCTTCCTGCTGAGCATTCTGGCTTCCTACTGACCTGAGCTCTGCACACAGGTCAAAGGATCCAGCTCTCTAGCAAACTCCTTTCACCTTCTGCCTTTGCTAACTCAAGGGTGCTGAACTTCATCCAGAGATGTGTGAATTAGGAAAGTTCTGTCCATCGTTTTCTTGTTGACTTTTGTCCAAATACAGACTGAATCCAGAAGTGGTGTGTGCTGGTTAAGTGTTTTTGCTAAAATGTGAATTCTCTTCCACCTTGGATGGAAGGTTTGATTCGAGTCAGACCGGCAGATCTGCCACGGGGACCTCATTTCCTCACTGACTGTACTTTGCAATGTTTTGCTGTAATCCACGTGTCCAGTCAGGGCTGAGTCCCTTCCTGCTCGGTGCTCAGTGAGCAAACGTGACCACCATCACTGCCACGAGGGTGTCAGAATTTCAGAATCACTTCAAGCGCTTCCAAATGCAACAATTGGAATTTTT